CGTAAGCGTAAGTGTTTTTTCAGACTGTATTCAACATCTATGCTAAATTTCAGCTAGATCGGTTAAGCCTTTCTGGAGAGAAAAGTAACAAACATATTCAAATTTTGATATCAGTAAATAAAAAAAAATAACAATTTAAAACTAGCATAGATACTCGGTTTCAAGACAATACATTGTATGTAGTGTAGTGTATCATCACCAAAGTCATTTAATTATATAGACTAGGCATAGTGAACAATTTATTTTCACCGATACTTTCTCTGAAAGGCACTATATCACTGTCAAATTTAGTGTCACCTCGAGTATACATGCAATGTTTTTTTTTATAATATAAGGTGGCAAACGAGCAAGCGGCCACCTGAATCCACCGAAATGGAAAACGACCGCTACCCATAAATATCCGCAATTGCAGATGCGTTGCCTACCCTTAATTGATAAAGTAGGAGACGCACATAAAGAGAACATTTCCCCTTTCTATACCTCTCCTCCACCGGCAAGCCCACTTTTCCTTCCCATCTTTTCCTCTTAAGAAAAGGACGATTGACGTATTGTTTCGAGGATTTATCAGTAGATGGCGTTAGTGATGTGTATTATGCCTTCTCTATGTATATTTTTTAATATCTCTGATAATAACTGACCGATGAGCCTGATGGAGCGCAGCACGTTGGCGACCATCATGGGCTTGAATACGTTGAGCTCGAAGTGTCCGTTGGATCCGCCGATGGTGCACGCCACGTGGTTGCCCATCACCTGCGCCGCGATCATCGTCAGCGCCTCGCACTGCGTCGGGTTCACCTTGCCTACACACACACTCTTCTATACTTCTATACTAATATTATAAAGAGGAAAGATTTGTATTTTTGTATGTATTGAAATAACTCAAAAATTACACGATTTTTAAAATTCTTTCACCATTACAAACTTCGTTATCAGTGAGTAGCATAGACTATATTTTTTATTTAGGATGATATTGTTTGAAATTGAAATTTACATAATTCTATGCGGATGAAGTCGAACGGGAACAGCTAGTATAAAATAACGCACAATCATCAGATTGTACGCGGAATTCACTCCACTTCGTTGACGTACATCAGATTACAAACCGCGCTTACGAATCGAAGTACTTAATTAAGAAGATTCGTTTCAATATTAGACCTTAAGATTAGTGTTCCAAGTGGGAGGGTGCTCACCAGGCATGATGGAGGAGCCGGGCTCGTTCTCCGGCAGCATCAGCTCGCCCAGTCCACAGCGCGGGCCGGACGCCAGCAGCCGGATGTCGTTGCCGATCTTCATAAGGGAGACGGCGATGGTGTTCAGCGCGCCGGACACCTCCACCATTGCGTCGTGACACGCCAGACCTTCGAACTTGTTCGGCGCCGTCTCGAATGGTATACCTGGAACATTCAATGTACAGTCAGCGGCAGTAATATGTACACGTTTACAAATATTTGTCGCAATCAGAAGAAATCAATTTGAATTTAAGTCATAATTAGAACACGAGCGCCGCCAAGCGACTTTCGTGAGAACTTAGATTATTCTGAAAATAGGGATCGTTGCGAGAACATTGTTAGAACGATATGAGCTTGGTAGATCGATGATATCCTGATTGAGGAGTATTGTGCATGTGTCCTTGGAATCCGACTTTACCCATGGCCGCCCACAAGTGATCTCGAGTAGTAGTAATTCTGATATCGTGCTAGCTCAAGCCGATATGTTTATAAATTTATGCATATCTTCAGTTTTAAATATGTATTAATATTCGTCCATAAGCTTCCGACCATGAGCAGGTGCATGCTATTGTATATGTGCACACATATTCATAAAATCAAAAACCTCTAC